CAGGCACCCAAGTCTGGAGCAGCCTCAGCAGGGAGCTACTTTAAGAGTTTAGATACCAAGGACCTATAGACATGGCTGCAGCCACTGTACTGCTCCAAAAAAGGAGGAGAACAAGCATGCCCATGCACCCCCAGAAGGATACTTGTCATCCTGCTACAAGCTGCTGTTGAGACTGAAACATAAGTAGATCACACTCCCTACACCTTCTTGCTCATGCTGCTTGGCTGGGTGGTGCCCCATTCTCTCTAGCCCCATGCCCAAGACACCATTTTCTGAGTTCAATGCTGGGCTGAGTCCTGCCCTTGGCCTGAGTTGGGGCTGACATGGCCCCAGTCACTGCCCAGCAAAGGACCAACAGGGAAACCAGGCTACCCCACACATATCTATAGAATACCCACCACCCTGCAATGTGCTGCTGTGAAAATGAGACACAATCAGACTACACTTCCCACAGTTTTTTGCCCATGCTGCTCGCCTGGGTGGTGCTCTAGTATCCCAGGGCACAGGCCAAAACTGTCATTTTGAGAGTTTAATTCTGAGCTGTGCCCCAACTTTGGCTTGAGTTAAGGCTGATTGCAGCTACTGCCCAGCCAAGAAGGGGCAGAAAAGCCAGGCTCTCCTATGCACACCTGCAACAACACCCAAAGCTCTGCTATAGGCTGCTGTGAGACTTAGACTTGAGTAGAACACAATCCCCACTGCTTCATACCAACACTGCTCACCTGAGAGGGGCCCCACCCTCTCTAGTCACAGTCCTACAGATGGCACCCTTATGAGAGTTTAGAGACATTGTTTGATGCCTGGCAACAGTAGCCACAGCAGACATTCTAGCCTCTGGTCAGAGACTGGGGCACCTGGTCTGGAACAAAGGAATCTCTTTGTTACCAACTGTGTCCCTGAAATTATTGGTAGAGCTTGATTCTAGGTGAAATATCTGATTCATGCTAGTTTGATCAGCCAATCTTGATGAGGGTGATTCAGGTTACATGAGTGTATACATATGTCAAAATTTACCAAACTCTACACAGTACTTGTGCATTTTTACTGTATGTAAATGTTATCTCAATACAGCATTATTAGAAAATAAAATTAGTATTCCCTAACCCTATCCATTAGACATTCCATAACCTAGAAGCAAAGACTAAATCAACAGCTATATACAACCCTAGCACCCAAAGTCTGGTATCTAAATACCTCTTGCCACTAAAAAGAACTACAGCTTGGAGAAATAACTCTTCCAGGATTAGGGTAGGAAATGCAGATGAGCATGGAACATCTTGTGACACCAGAAAACAAGGAAGCTATCAGACTACGGGAATCACATCAAAAGGACAGAGCAACAACTTAAAAAGACTTCCAAAGAGTATAAGCTGGGCATCAAAAAGAATAATGGCTACAGCGAATTAAAACACTCATATATGTTTAAAATTCATTAGTTCATAATAACACTTAAGGAGAACAAATAACCCTTGCTGGTCAACACTGGACAATGCTAGGGAATAAACTTATTTTTCTGAAAACATGTACATATAAAGGGAATGAATCAAGTTATCTTGCCTTTACTGAACAAACTAGGCTTCACCATGACCAAATAGTTGGAATTTTCCTTCTAAGAAATACAGAACCTGATGAAAACATGGCTGCAGACAGCAATCATCGATGGCTGCAAAAATCATTAGGTCACAGATTAATGAAAAACTTAATGGTGATTTATCCATTATGAATATCATCTGTTATGATGTCAAAAGGACACAGCAGCTAATTTAAAAAGACTTCAAAGGGGATAATGTGTGCACTGAAAGAAAAAAAAAATGGCTTCAGTGGATTAAAACACGTCAAATGTGTTTAAAATTCATTAATTTAGCAAGGCATGGTGGCTCACCTGTAGTCCCAGCAACTCTGGAGCCAAAAGAGGAAGGGTTGCTTGAGCCCAGAAGTTTGAGACCAGCCCAGGCAACATTGCAAACCCCCCCTGTACAGAAAATACAATTCCATGCTTGTGGACAGGAAGAATCAATACCATGAAAATGGTCATACTGCCCAAAGTAATCGATAGATTCAATACTATTCCCATCAAACTACCATTGACTTTCTTCACAGAACTAGAAAAAACTACTTTAAATTTCATATGGAACCAAAAAAGAGCCTGTATAGCCAAGACAATCCTAAGCAAAAAGAACAAAGCTGGAGACATCACACTATTTCACTTCAAACTATACTACAAGGCTAGAGTAACCAAAACAGCATGCTACTGGTACCAAAACAGATATAAAGATCAATGGAACAGAACAGAGGCCTCAGAAATAACACCACACATCTACAACCATCTGATCTTTGACAAATCTGACAAAAACAAGAAATGGGGAAAGGATTCCCTATTTAATAAATGGTGTTGGGAAAACTGGCTAGCCATATGTAGAAAACTGAAACTGGACCCCTTCCTTACACCTTATACAAAAATTAATTCAAGATGGATTAAAGACTTAAATGTAAAACCCCAAACAATAAAAACCCTAGAAGAAAACCTAGGCAATACCATTCAGGACATAGGCACGGGCAAAGACTTCATGACTAAAACACCAAAAGCAATGGCAACAAAAGCCAAAATTGACAAATGGGATCTAATTAAACTAAAGAGCTTCTGCACAGCAAAAGAAACTACCATCAGAGTGAACGGGCAACCTATAGAATGGGAGAAAATTTTTGCAATCTATCCATCTGACAAAGGGTTAATATCCAGAATCTACAAGGAACTTAAAACAAATTTACAAGAAAAAAAACACCACCACCAAAACATGGGCAAAGGATATGAACAGGCACTTCTCAAAAGAAGACATTTATGCAGCTAACAAGCATATGAAAAAAAGCTCATCATTACTGGTCATTAGGGAAATGCAAATCAAAACTACAATGAGATACCATCTTACACCAGTTAAAATGGCAATCATTAAAAAGTCAGGAAACAACAGATGCTGGAGAGGATGTGGAGAAAGAGGAACACTTCTACACTGTTGGTGAGAGTGTAAATTAGTTCAACCACTGCAGAAGACAGTGTGGCAATTCCTCAAGGATCTAGAACCAGAAATACCATTTGACCCAGCAATCCCATTACTGGGTATATACCCAAAGGATTATAAATCATTCTACTATAAAGACACTCGCACATGTATGTTTACTGCAGCACTATTTACAATGGCAAAGACTTGGAACCAACCCAAATGCCCATCAATGATAGACTGGATAAAGAAAATGTGGGCTGAGCACAGTGGCTCATGCCTGTAATCCCAGCACTTTGGGAGGCAGAGGCAGGTGGATCACCTGAGGAGTTCGAAACCAGCCTGGCCAACATGGTGAAACCCTGTCTCTACCAAAAATACAAAAATTTGCCAGGCATAGTGGTGGGTGCCTGTAATGCCAGCTATCAGGAGGCTGAGTCAGGAGAATCATTTGAACCTAGGAAGCAAAGGTTGCAATGAGCCAAGATCACGCCATTGGGGATATAAATAAGGCAAGTTTTAGTTTAAAAAAAAGAAAAGAAAAGAAAACACAAAAAAATTAGCCAGGAATGGGGCACACGCCTGTAGTCCCAGCTAGCCAGGAGACTGGAGTAAGTGGATTGCTTGAGTCCGGGGTCAGAAGTTGAGCGTGCAGAAATTACACCACTGCACTCCAGCCTAAGCAACAGAGCAAGACTGTCTCAAAACAAACAAGCAAACAAAACCAAAAAAACTCTGAATAATGAGATTTGGGGAGCTTCTGGGTTGATGAACACATCCATGACCTGGGAGGGTGGTACACTCAGAGAGGGCACGGAAGCTCTGTACCTCCTGCCCCAGTACCTTGCCTTATGCCTATCTTCCATTATTTGGCTGTTTCTGAGTTATATCTTTAATAATACAACTCTAAGTATAGCACTTCCTTGAGTTCTGTGAGTAGTTCTAGTGAATTATCTAACCTGAGGGAGGGTCATGGGAAACCCCGAATTTATAGTGGGTAGGTATGTATGCAAGCAGCCTGGGGACCCCACTTGTGCCTAGCATCTAAAGTAGAGGCAGATTATGGAACTGAGTCCTTAACTTATAGGGTATATGCTAAGTACAGGTAGTGTAGTGTCAGAATGAAACTAAATTATTAGACACCCAGTTGGTGTCAGAGAATTGGAGAACTAGTGCAGGAACAACAGATTTGGTGTAAAACACACACACACACACACTCATTTATCAACCACACTGTATTCCTGGGGGGAAAATATTTTTGAACTAGAATCTGAGCAAATCTGGAGACCTGATTACCATAAAAGAAGACATACGTGGAGATCAAAAAGCCAGTTAAGCAACACAAGGATACAGATTAAAGCAATTTAAGAGAAATATCAACCAAAATGCAATGTATGTGCCTAACTGGGATCCTGATTGGAGAGAACTACAATCAACATGTCTACGATCATGTGGCATTCATGACACAATATGGCAAATTTGAATACTGCCTAGATATAAATAATATTAAGGAATTATTGTTTATTTTTAAGTATGAATAGTATTATTATTATGGTTTTTTTAAAGTCTTTTTCTATTAGTCATACATACTGAAGACTATGAAATAATAGCAATGGGACTTCTAAAATAATCCAGGAAGTATAAATTTTTAAAAAGATTGGCCATGTGTTATAATTGTAAAAACTGGGTGATGGGTACATGAGAATTAATTATTCAAGTCTCTCTCCTTTTACAGTGTTTGAAAATTGCCTTAGTTGAAAAGTTTTTAGAACACAAAGGGAAATGTAAATTAGAAACTATTAAATTTTCAAACATCCAATGAAATCCAAAGATGATTAGTCTGGAGTATAAGACAAAAATTCACCTATAAACAAAAACAGGGATTAGCAAAGAAGTAGAGGACAAGGTGGGGAAGGAAAGGAAAGTGACAGAAAAATAAATAGCAGCAGATGAGTACACAGATTTCCCAGTTGGACACTCTTCACCTTAAGCCACTGAACATACCTGCAGCTCCTGGGCAATCTGTTCTACTTTCAATTCTAATGCCTTATAACTTTCGAGAAGAGCATCCTTCTCCGTTTTAAGTTTTTCATTTTCTTCAATCAGTTTCTGGTCCTGCTTAATTTTTGCCAGGCTGACATTAGACCCTAAATTAAAGTCACCAACAGCCGAACTTTCCCTATAAAAACAAATCCATTTATTTTAAAAAACAAACTGAATAAGGATGACAGAGAAAACAAATCTAAGTTATCTTGGTCTTTTTATACCACAATATATCTGAAAGTTAATTTTGAAAACTAAAATATTTACCTAGTTCATAATATTAAAAAATAATTTAATGCAAACAAGATTTTATAACTGAAGTCATAATTCGACAATGCCTCTAATTCACAAAGAAAATATATTCCAACTTCTTCATAGCACTATCAACTACAGAGAACAAAGTAAAAAGCATTTCTGTATTAGTTTTTTTCCAATGCCTCCTCCCTGTGATCCCCCTGTTCACCACCTCCCCCACCATTTGACAGTTTAGCTCCTAAAGCACTGAAGAGATCCCATCAAACAACTATATCATCCAAGATACAGCATCATGTCTTGGACCATGATATAGAAGACGGTTTTGATACATATAAATATCAAATCTGGCTTTCTTTTTTTTTTTTTTTTTTTTGAGACGGAGTCTCACTCTGTCCCCCAGGCTGGAGTGCAGTGGCCGGATCTCAGCTCACTGCAAGCTCCGCCTCCCGGGTTCACGCCATTCTCCTGCCTCAGCCTCCTGAGGAGCTGGGACTACAGGCGCCCGCCACTGCGCCCGGCTAATTTTTGTATTTTTTTAGTAGAGACGGGGTTTCACCGTGTTAGCCAGGATGGTCTTGATCTCCTGACCTCGTGATCCGCCCGTCTCGGCCTCCCAAAGTGCTGAGATTACAGGCTTGAGCCACCGTGCCCGGCCTCCAAATCTGGCTTTCTGCTTCAAGTTGATGATTCAAAATTATCTAAAAAGTAAGCTATTCAGAATAATCAAACTCCACCACAAGTTTTCACAAGAAGAAAGAGTCTCACTTTTATTTAAAAAGTAAAGGCAATTCCCTGAAACTCTTTAAAATATTCCTAAAGTCATAGGAAAAATTTCAAATCTTATCTGAAATTCTGACTTTGCCTGAATAATTCAGATTTGGGAGCAGATTTTTATTTTTGATAAGTGTATTCCAATGAGTTGGCATGAAAAGTTTGTATGTAAACTTTTAAATAATTCAGGAATTATTTTTCTTTCAAAATAGCTTGTAATGAAAATACCCCTGCTAAAGCAGAGAGGAATACATTTGAGAAAAGTAGAAATATCAGCATCAGCCCTTAAAATCACTGACACAGTTAAGGATTCCAAAAGCATAAGCCTTAACTTCTATTCTACTATGACAGGGACCTCTACAATGAATTAGAAATAAGTGAAGACTAAATTCTTACTTTGGAAATGTCATAAGATTTCCTGCATCATTTTCATTCTTCAAGTCAAGAGTCAGCTTCTCACTTAAGTGCCCCTTGGGCCTGCTGAAAGTTGACTGGTTTGATCTATGCCCCCACAAAGGAATGGGGCTTTTGAGGTTCCTGAGAACAAGTTGACCAGGATCCAATTTTTTTTCCTCACTGATGTCAGTTCTGGAAGTAAGTTTGCATTTCTCTGCAAATCCTTTCTTAAACACTTCTTCCCCTATATCCACACTGCCATACTCAGCCTGAGCAATAACTGTTCCATCTTGAGAGGTTGCTTTAATTCTCATTTTTATTTCCTTTTCGAAAATCAAGCTCCCCAAAAAGGTTGTGCCCTAAGAAAGAAGAAAACATAAACCAGCTACACCAACATGTTTCTCTTCTCTTATTTTGTTTCTACTCATTTTTTCCAAGCATCATATTTCTTCATTCTAAAATCTCTATATACAGAAGTCTTACCTTGATGTTGGCTATAATATGCAAATATACATCTCCACATATATGAATGTATTCCAATTACACATTTGCTAAAATGAAGTAGAGCTAAATACTTGTATAGGCAGCCATATTTATAAATCTAAAAATGTATTACTAAGTAAATATCCTAGAATAGTTTTCTTTAACCCAGCAGATTACGTTGACTACTTTGGCCCCAACTAAATATAATGCTCTCCTGAAAAGCAACAGCACATAAAAATGAATCTCTGATATCTAGAAAAGGTACTCAATTTTACAAAACTTTAAAAGTTTTAGAGGCACTCAGGAACTCTGATTTTAAAGACGAACAGAAGTGAAAAAACAAACTGAAAGCACAAAATACAAATTATTTAAAAATCAACAAACTGAAATTATAAAATGTGAGGTGTCACAAATACATATTCAAAACTTTTTTTTTCTTCTTTTTTGAGACAGAATCTCACTCTGTTGCACAGGCTGGAGTTCAGTGGCCCAATCTTGGCTCATTGCAACCTCCGCCTCCCCTAATCAAGCAATTCTCCTGCCTCAGCCTCCCCAGTAACTGAGACTACTGGCACACACCACCATACCCACCTAATTTTTGTATTTTTAGTAGAGATGAGGTTTCACCATGTCAGCTGAGCTGGTCTCAAACTCCTAACCTCAAGTGATCCACCCACCTTGGCCTCCCAAAGTGCTGGGATTAGAGGGGTGAGCCACCGTGTCTGGCCTTCTACATTCAAAACTCTCTTAAATAGATTTTTGCTTAAGAGGGCTACAACTGTACAACTGGCATATGAGAAATTAGGTGCTTGCTAACTTTGAGCTCTTGAATATCCATCAACAGAACTAAGCAAAGATATACCTAAAACATATTTGGGATTGGAACATATTAAAACTTAATTTTAGTAAGAACTTATCTACTCCTTCATAAAATTGTAATTACTAAAATTACTTTGACACAATCTTAACTACTCTTCCCAAATTTCTCTAGGTTATTTTCCTGATTTTTACCCTGTGCATACTATAAAGGAAATTAAAAGTATTCTTTTTCAGAATATATAAAGCATAAATTTAAAACACAAAATGGGTAGGTACTGCTCAAATTTACTGGTTCACAACTTCCTTGAAATAGGGACATCATCTGATGAAACGTATCTCTCTTAGAAGGTGGAGCTGTATTTTTAGCTACATTCCCACTCTATAAATATGAAAAACAATATAGTTTATGCCAACAAAGCAAATCAAATAGGACATCATACCTATAATAACCAGAGAAACAAGAGTGTAAAAAACACACTAAAAACTACCAAATACAAACCAGCCACATTTTTAAAAGAAATAGGGGGTGTGGGGAAGTCAAGGTCCAAGAAACTAAATAATATTTTTAAGAACTATTTTCTCTTTTTTAACTACACAGTAGTATAGAGGGTAAAAGTGAGACTTACGCAGGAATTCTTAACCTTTTTGTGGCCATGGGGCTCCTTTATCAGTCAGGTGAAATCTTTGGACTTTTTCTCATAATGTTTTTAAATGCATGAAATACATACAATTACAAAAAAGAATTATTTAATTGGGACACATTTTTTTTTATTTTTTATTTTTTGAGATGGAGTCTGGCTTTGTCACCCAGGCTGGAGTGCAGTGGCGTGATCTCAGCTCTACAGGCACCCACCACCATGACCAGCTAATTTTTTGTATTTTGTAGTAGAGACGGGGTTTCACCGTGTTAGCCAGGATGGTCTCAATCTCCTGACCTCATGATCCCTTCACCTCGGCCTCCCAAAGTGCTGGGATTACAGGCGTGAGCCACCGCGCCCGGCCGACACATTTATTTTAACACCAGGTTAAGGATACCTGGGCCTAGAAGGATGCAACTGAAGGGGCAGAGAAGGAGACTCAAACTACGTATGCTCAAGAATCACCAACTATCACTATCCAAAAAAAAAAGAAAAAAATAATTTTGTAGATGGGGTCTTGCTATGTTTGCTCAAGCTGGTCTTGAACTCCTGGGCCCAAGCAATCCTCCCACTTCAGCCTCCTGAGTAGCTATGATTACAGGCACACACCCTGTGCCTAGGTGAAAAAATAATTTTTTAAATCCACAAAACAAAATAAGAAAATATTTTAGGTTAACAAAAACACAGGTTTTATAAATTTTTTAAGGCATAAAATTCAGAAATATACACATCATATCAAGAGGCTTGAATTCACCAAGAATATCAATATAAATAACAAATGAAGTCCAGAAGTTATCACCAATCAAATGGGATCAAGCAGCCAAAGCTAACAACCTCAGAATGTAAATAATTGAAATATATGTTACGATTTTAATCAATTAGATGTAGTTTTCCAGTTAACCTCTTTCACACAAAAACCCTTGGTTTCAACTCTTATTATCAAGTCTATCTAAAAATTCAAGAACAACTTATGCCCCTAGGAAGTCTTTGAAAATTATTGCTGGTATATGTGGAATTATTAATATTTCAAGGAACCCTGTCTTTGGGCAATATGTGAATTCAAATGGAAATAACCTATTTTCTACAAAAGTTTCAATTGCCTAAAGCTGAATGTTCTAAAGGTCCATTACTCCTTGCATAGAATTTTTATGCAGGAATCTAATTTTAGATTTCTCTCTGAATTCAAATTCATTTTACTTACAATCACCAATCACAATTAGTATGAAGTTGTTCAAACAGATTCTCCCTGAATCATATATAATCATAAACACAGAACTCTGAACTTGAAGTAAAATCTGAGTCTTCCTCAGTTCCAACTAACAAAAAGAATGACAGAGTATATGATACATGGGTGTTTTAATACTATACTTTACCAAAAATATATGTTTTTATATATATTACATATAAACATTTAATTTTTATCATAAGAAATATATTTTCCACTAACCCTTATGAGCTGGAGATATATATCTGCACTTAAAAAATATATTTAGGTATTTAAAAGGTATAAAACTTAACTTTTTTTTTTTTTTTTTTGAGACAGGGTTTCACAGCCTTGACCCCTTAAGCTCAAGCAATCCTCCCACCTCAGTCTCCCAAGTAGCTGGGACTACAAGCATGTACCACCATGCCCAGCTAATTTTTCTGTATTTTTTGTACAGACAGGGTTTTGCCATGTTGCCCAGGCTGGTCTCAAACTCCTGGACTCAAGCCATCCACCCACCTCAGACTCCCAAAGTGCTGGGCTTTAAAGGCATGAGCCACTGCACTTGGCAAAACTTAACTTTTTAAAATAAATCTGGTCATTGGTTTAGAACATAAGGCTTTCAATCATTAAAAAAGATTAATGTCACTTTTTAGAAATATATTTCATTCTGTTTTCCAAACTGGTAAGCTTCATTCAGAAACAAGAAAGGATCATTTGCTTTCTACTTTATTCCTCTGAATTTTGCTTGTATATATTAGAAAACAAGCTAAAAGGTCTTTAAATTGTTAAACACAAATTCCAGGCTCTAGCTCTCATTCCCTTACTCTACATATAATTTTTAAAGTCAGGCATGTAGGAACAGTAATGTAATATTCTTGATCTTCAGCAAACTACCATTCTGGGTATCGATTCTGACTGTGCCGTAGCATAGCATGAAAGTGTTAGTTAAAAATGTGAAGGAATTTCAGTGCCCAGGACACCTTCTGGAAAAGGGGAAGGAGGGAGGCATTTGTGTTGTTACTGAATCCCTACTGTTCATCTATTTATTCAAATGCTAGATAAACTGATGCACATCTAACACCTACCCGGCAGGGAAATTAGACATAGAAAAGTGAATACTTATCTCTACAAACTCACTAGGCTTGTAGGGGAGGAAAAAATTACAACTTTATAGGCTTTATATACGGAGTGACTAAAACACCACACAGGACCGGGTAAGTGGGTATTACCAAAGACTTCATATAAAAGATTAGAGTTGAAATTTGGACTGAGAATTAATAACTAAACATGGGCCTTTTAAGCAGAGCTATTCAATAATAGTTCATTTTTTTTTCCAGAAAATATTGTGTGCCAATTAGCTTAACTCTAATCAATGATCTTTTTACTGAACTAAGCATCCAAATACAAATGTTTAGCCGGGTGGCTCATGCCTGTAATCCCAGCACTTTGGGAAGCACAGGTGGGGGGGATCACTTGAGGTCAGGAGTTCAAGACCAGCCTGGCCAACATGGTGAAACCCCATCTCTACTACAAATACAAAAATTAGCCAGACATGGTGGCAGGCACCTGTAATTCCAGCTACCAGGAGACTGAGACAGGAGAATCGCTTGAACCCAAGAGGTGGAGGCTGCAGTGAGCTGAGATCACGCCATTGCACTCCAGCCTAGGCGACAGAGCGAGACTTCATCCCCCCCAAAAAAACAAAACAAAACAAAACAAAAAATATATATATAAATGTTTATATACAGTACCATCTATAAAGAATCTTTGAAACATACAAAAACATTCTCAGCTTCAGTTTATTCATTCAATTCTAAAATTAACTTTTTTTAATGTCTTTTTCCCACTTGATTCATGTGTAGTTCAATCAACACAAATCTGTGCATCTACTATGAAAAGAACAACAGACTTGAGTTCTAGGCCTACCTCTTCCCTAATTAGCTTCATGACTTGAAGTCATTTAATTATTCTAGGCTACAATTTCCCTATATGTAAAATAAAGTGAGAGCAGATAATATTCTAAGGTCTGTAAACAAGATTTTAGAGTTTCAGGCATGAAAGAAATCCAAAACAAGCCTCCCCAACCTTGGTCAAAGCATTTATATTAAAGAAGAAAGTAACAAACTTTAGATTTTAAACCAGAAACTTAGGGTATAATTTTATAATATCTGTATTTCATGTTTACGAAAGCCTGAGTTTTATGTACAGAAATGTTTCTTGTAAGTAACTACATAGCATACAAAACTATACCCAACACACCTACAAGATTCTCAAAGGAAAATAAAGAGGGAATTTTAATTAATTTCAATTAATTTTTAATTAATTTCAATTAATTAATTAAATTTTAATTAATTTCTTTACAATGCGTACAACGATTAAATTGTTTTCCACATGAGCTACTTGAGCTGCTATTATAAGAATTACAAATCTGATTACTTTGCAATGTAATATCTCTTACCAGCATTACCATTTACCAAAAGAATCATCATTGTACAATAGATTTTAAAAGAGGTAGGATTCCTGTAATACTACCCCTGAAATTATCGAATGTCTTCCAGAATTAGGTTACCAACCCAAAATTCAGTGGAAAGGAATATGAACTAGAAGCCACATGAGCAAAACATCTACTGCCAATTATTACATCAAACAGTATCAGCCTCTGCCAAAATGATAAAATCTGATTATAACTCCGTTAATTTCAAATTTGTGGTATTTATGATCAGGACTAGGTAAAGATCACTTTTATTTAATAAATACCTTCCCAAAACAATTATAGAAATAACTGCATTCATTATTTTTTCCATCATATAAGAGACTATCCTTGGCCAGACGCAGTGGCTCATGCTTGTAATCCCAGCACTTTGGGAGGTCAAGGTGGGCAGATCACCTGAGGTCAGGAGTTCGAGACCAGCCTGGCTAACATGGTAAAACCCCGACTCTACCAAAAATACAAAAATTACCTGGCCATGGTGGCACAGGCCTGTAATCCAGCTATTCGGAAGGCTGAGGCAGAAGAATTGCTTGAACCTGGGAGGCAGAGGTTGCAGTGAGCCGAGATCATGCTATTACACTCCAGCCTGGGCAACAGAGTGAGACTCCATCTCAAAAAAAAAAAAAAAAAGACTATCCTTTTAAACATCAGAAGAAACTATTTATATATATTACATATGTATATGTCATTCTTACCTGTTCAATGTTTACCTAGCAAAAATAAGCATAAATATGTAATTGCTTTCTAATTATAATTCCTATTTTTCACTAATTTATACAGACTTTTCTATTCAAGTAAAATTTAATTATACTTACATTTTGTTTCAAGCACATAGTTTTACTTTCATTAGCAAAAATATTTAAAATCCATGACTTGCCTGATCAAACTGGGTAACTTCTTGATTAGAAGGAATGTGTAGCCCCCAAAGTTTATACTTTTTGGCAACACTAGAAAACTGCAGCTCCAAAGGAATTTCAACTATATCAGATCGATTTAGAATTTCAGTATTTCCATAGTCAATGTACCGCACCAGACACTGGAAAAAATAAGAGACAAATACTAATACTGACCCCAGATTAAATATTTACAAAGAAACCACCAATTTGCTGCTCTCTGTTAATGACCTGTATATCAAAATAGCATTCTTATCTCAAAATGACAAAATACATTCAGAAATAGCTCTCTAATAATATCTTCAAAATAAAAAAAAAATCCACAGTCCATGAAATTCCAGTGATTTCTTTACTTGCTACTAGTTAAATTCCAACAGTACCATTTCTCATTAGGGTGTTTTTTGTTTTTAGACAATTGATATTTTAAATAAACATCAACCTATGAAGCTTACAGCCCTCTCCTGTTTCTCCTAATGTTAAAATCAAGCAACATTCAATTCAATTTCAAGTTGGAAAGAATAAAATCTGAAAAGAAAGGCAAAGTTATCAAACTTCCTTTGATACAATTAAACTCACTCCAGGTAGACCATGTAAACTAATCAGATTCACCACCCTTACCTCCAGCTCTACATCCGTTTAAAAAGTAAAAAAGAAAAATAGTTATTTCAAGGTCAAACATCACGTTGCCCTTTAATTTAAAAAATTAAAGCCAAGTGAAAAGCAAATGCAAAATATAATCTCCAGTTGTCAAATCACAGGAGAAAGGTCAATTAGAAAGTTCCATTCCACTAAAACAAACCATTATCTATGACAGCAAAAAATGAGATTTTTTTTAAACCAAGTTATTCAGAATACTAATCAAATTGTTACATCTTAGCATCTTATTACACCAAAGAAAATATTTATAAAACATACACATTTTTAATTTTTTATCTTTTATCCTTAATCGCTTTCCCAGGTTCAGTAAAAACATACATATTATAATTTAAGTACAGAAAGCAGGTGTAGAAAAAACACTAAAGGAAATCCTACAGAGGTGCTTTCACACAGCCTGCAATATGCAACTGTCACCAAACAGCTATTCAGAATTCTATCTCCCGAAATCCTCTTAAAAATCCTCCAAGAATTCACAATGTTTAAAAAAAAAAAAAAAAAAAGCTTAACACAAAGAAAACTCACCACATTTAACCCAGGCACAAGGAAGTGGCAAATCAATCATTATTATTAACAATATTCACATCAACTAAATAAAAGATATACCTAACTTCAGAAGGATCAATCAAAATGTTCTTCCTCCTACTCATAAAGCTTAATAGAAAGAACATTTAAAATTTACTCATTAGCAAGAACCAAATATAATTATTAAGATCTGAGGTAGGCTGGGCACAGTGGCTCACTCCTGTAATCCCAGAACTTTTGGAGGCTGAGGTGGACGGATCACCTGAGGTCAGAAGTCCGACCAGCCTCATCAACATGGTGAAACCCCTTCTCTACCAAAAATACAAAAATTAGCCAGTGTGGTGGTGGGCGCCTGTAATCCCAGCTACTTGGGAGGCTGAGGCAGGAGAATAGCTTGAACCTGGGAGGAGGAGGTTGCAGTGAGCCAAGATCGTACCACTGCACTCCAGCCTGGGCGACAGAGAAAGACTCCGTCTCAAAGAAAAAAGAACTGAGACAAAAAGAACTAGGCACCAAAAATAACCTACATATTATATAATCTATTCTTGAATAATCTGAGGTGATTATAAAACAACATGTTTTTTAGTAATTAATTTCTTCCATGTTTTAATCACTTGAACCAGATATCACTACTATGAATAAGCAATGAAGGGGTAAATAAACATCAAATTTTGGAGCCACAACAAATATTTCTTAAAGAAAAAAAACGAATGAACGGTTAATTTCCTGCCTTTTCATCGCTGATGATTTTCAGTACTTTGCATCTGTACCAACACTTATCTTCAGAAAATAATCCACCATAAATCTACAAAGAGAAAAGAAAGCAAAATTACTTGGCATCTTAATGAAGTACAAAGCATGCTGAGTAGATCAGAATAAAGGTTAGCATTTAAGCTCTTCCTATATGTCAGTAAGTACTTTATGCATAACTTATTTAATTCTCACAATCCTATGGGGCAGGTACTTTGTTTATGCCACCATGTACCGAAAGACATAAACTAGTAAACTGCAGAACCAAGATTCAAACTTCTGACTTCAGAGTTCATTATGCTATTCTGCATCTCCAAAATGAGGAGGGAGGGGTATAAAAAGCAAAATAAAAATAAAAATAAAAAAATTTAAGGCACAAGCATCAAACACTTAAAATCATACTATTATAATGTCTGAGGCAATAATTGGTAATATTTTTTTAACATAAACATGCCAAGTACATGGCACATAAGTCTAACTCTCAACTACAATGGAATCCACATTTGCTACCAACCAAGAAAGATTTCATACTTTTTACTTTATGTATAAGGAGATTAGTGCTATTAAGTAGATAAAACTAAATTAGATAATATCTTTAATACTGAACTTTATTTTATATTTCAGTTGAATGATGTTTAATAAAAGAATAAAGAGAAAATTTACGTACTTTCAATCTTTTTTTTTTTTTTTTTGAGACAGGGTCTCATTCTGTCACCAGGCCTGGAGTGCAGTGGAACAATCATGGCTCTCTGCTAACTTGACCTCCCCAAGCACAGGTGATCCTCCCACCCCAGTCCCCAGGGTAGCTGGGAACATGGGCACGCACCACCATGCCTGGGCCCTTCTTTTTTTTTTTTTTAAGAGGCAAGGTCTCACCACGTTGCCCAGGCTGGCTTTCATTTTATCGAACTTCAAAGTAGCCTTAGCACTACTGGCATTTGGGACTGGATGAGTCTGTGTTTAGAAGCAGAATGGGGCTGTCCTCTGCCCTGTGCATTGTAAAACGTTTATCAACATCCCTTCTGGCCTCTACACACTAGATGCCAGTAGCACCACTTCCAGTTGTGACAAGCAAAAATGTCTCCAAACACTGTCAAATGTCTCCTGAAGGTGTCTATGATTTAGATGGATATCACCCACCAAATGGCATGTTAAAATCTGATTCCCAATGATGGAAGTGGGGCCTGGTAGGAGGTGTTTGGATAGTAACTGCAGATCCCTAAAAATGGCTTGGTGCCATTCTCGTGGAAGTGAATGAGTTTTCACTCATAGTTCCTAAGAGAACTAGTTGTTGAAAAGAGCCTGGCACCTCTTCCTCCCTCTGCTTCCTCTCTCACCATGTAATCTACAGACACTCGCTCCTCTTCACCTTCTACCATTTGTGGAAGCACACTGAGTCCCTTGTTAGAATTGTATAAAAAGCAAAAAAAAACTTTTTTTTAGAAGATACAAGCATCAAACACTTAAAATCATACTATTTTAATGTCTGAAGACATAACTGGTATAATTTTTTTAAAAACATAAACATGCGAAATACATGCCACTTAAGTCTAACTCTCAACTATACTCTGTTGGAGCTATGCTTTTTGTACAGCCTACAGAACCATGAGCCAAATAAACCTCTTTTCTCTATAAATTACCCAGTCTCAGGTATTCTTTCACAGTAACAAAAATGAAGTAAGACATGATTGGATTGAGAAGGATACAAAAATCACTGCAGGCTGATAATTACTTTTTTTGAGATAAAGTTTTACTCTGTTGTCCAGGCTGGAGTGCAGCAGCATGATCATAGCTCACTGTAGCCTCAAACTTCTGGGCTCACGCAATCCTTCCGCCTCAACCTCCCAAATATCTGGGGCTACAGGCACACGCACCGTACCTAGCCTTTTTTTTTTTTTTTTTTTGAGAAACAGGGTCTCGCTACATCGCCCAGACTGGTTTTGAACTCCTGGCCTCAACCAATTCTCCTGCCTTGGCCTCCCAAAGTGCTGGGATTACAGGCATGAGCCCCCATGCCTGGCCTTAACCACTTTAAATCATACAGTCTCAATTGGGGCAATATCCCTAAGGGGAAGAAAAGTGGTTCTTATGGAGAGTTGGAAATCTTAAATATTACAATGGTCTATAGCCCTCCAAAGTTCAACCCTACTGATAACATAGTTATTATATACTGTATATCTGTAGCAGTAAAATATCTGAAGGGGAGAAGGCCCATTAGGCCATTAGGCAGAAAACAAGTCTAAAAATGCTCCTTAGGAGGGAATAATGAGAAAAATGGCTGAAGAACACTGCTTTAAGTTATGGATTATAAAATTAATTTCAATGTATCACTCTGAACTAGGGCAAATCCACAGATTTATTTTATGAAACCTAAACACCAAACCTATTCACCAGAACAATACAGTACACATAAATTCAGACAAACAAATAAGTAACAGTTCAAATGCTACAAAGGATTAGTGTATTCAATTCATAATTTACTCTGGTTTCTTCAGCTAACATTCAACAACTAAAGGACAAGAGAGAGCAGTAACAGTACGGTACTCTCTCCCAACCCTCTTACTTTATTTTCTGGTAAGCAAACAGGGGTAGTAGCAAAAATAGCTGACAATTAACAGTCCTAACCAATTTCAATCCCTGCAAAAGACTGAATCAACTTTAATTAAGGCTTTGTAATAACATCACAATACGATTAATAATTTGGTATAAGGTAAGTGACAGAAATGCAACGGTTTATTGCAAACCAGGTGAGGCAGGGCTAGGGACACTTATGTTCAAGAATAGAGCTGGTACTCAACAAAGTGAAGAATCCGAAGTTCGTGGCTTTGTTAGTGTAATACAACCACCAAAACATACAAATCTATCCCAGGTAGATTTATCTGTCCTCATGACATAGCGAAAACTACATATTCACTCTCGTTGTGCCTGGGCCCAATCTTCTCCTCCTACAACTCCACTATTCACAGCCTATGACCCTCCTACATGGTGGCAGAGGAAGAGAACCACTTAGATCACTAAGGAAAACTGACAAAGTGTAATCCATTTATGAACAATCAGAAGTAGCTGATTAATCACTTAAAATCAGATGCCTATTACTGATGCTTGTATAAATTTCTGATAATATAATTAATATTATATTCAATAGAAGAAAAGGAGTATGTCTTAATTTTTAACAATATTAAACATAGTCATTGGTCAGGTGCAGTGGCTGACACCTGTAAATACCCCCATAAAAAATATTTTAAAATTGAGGAATGGATTGGCTCCAGTGATGGGTCTCAGATGGGCTAATTTTTATAGACACAGCATCTGAAAGAAACCTGTCAAGGTATCATATAGAGACACTTATCTGCATGCTCATTCTCCATTAATATAGAAGGGAGAACTGGTATTAGATTCTTTTCAACGAATAAAAGTAAACTCAAGATTTATAAAGAAAAGAGGAGAGAGAGGTTCCAACATGGCCGAATAGGAAAAGCTCCAGTCTGAAGCTCCCAGCATGAGCAACAGAGAAGACGGGTGATTTCTGCATTTCCAACTGAGGTACCAGGTTCATCTCACTGGGGCTTTGTCAGACAGAGGGTGCAGCCCACGGAGCAGGGCGGGGCATCACCTCACCGGGAAGTGCAAGAGGTTGGAGAACTCCCTTTCCTAGGAAAGGGAAGCCATGAGAGATGGTTCCTGGAAATTCAGGACACTCCCACTCTAATACTGGGCTTTTCCAATGGCCTTAGCAGACGGAACACCATGAGATTATATCCCACGCCCACAGAGCCTCGCTCACTGCTAGCACAGCAATCTGAGATCAAACTGCAAGGAGACAGCAAGGCTGGGGTAGGGGCGCCCACCATTGCTGAGGCTTGAGTAGGTAAACAAAGCAGCCTGAGAGATCGAACTGTGTGGGGTCTACCACAGCTCAAGGAGGCCTGCCTGCCTCTGTAGACTCCACCTCTGAGGGCAGGGCATAGCTGAACAAAAGCCAGCAGAAACTTCTGCAGACTTGAACGTCCCTTTCTGACAGCTTTGAAGAGAGTAGTGGTTCTCCCAGCACAGAGTTTGAGATCTGAGAATGGATAGACTGCTTCCTCAAGTGGGTCCCTGACCTCCAAGTAGCCTAACTGGGAGACACCTCCCAGTAGGGGCCGAATGACACCTCATACAGCTGGGTGCCCCCTGAGACAAAGCTTCCAGAGGAAGGATCAGGCAGCAATATTTGCCTTTCTGCAATATTTGCTGTTCTGTAGCCTCCACTGGTGATACCCAGGCAAACATGGTCTGGAGTGGACCTCCAGCAAACTCCAACAGACCTGCTGCTGAGGGTCCTGACTGTTAGAAGGAAAACTCACAAACAGAAAGGACATCCACATCAAAACCCCATTGTACATCACCATCATCAAAGACCAAAGGTAGACAAAACCACAAAGACAGGGAGACACCAGAGCAGAAAAGCTGAAAATTCTAAAAGCAGAGCACCTCTTCTCCTCCAAAGGAACGTAGCTCCTCACCAGCAATGGAACAAAGCTGGAGGGAGAATGACTTTGACGAGTTGAGAGAAGGCGGCTTCAGATGATCGGTAATAACAAACTTCTCCAAGCTAAAGGAGGATGTTCAAACCCATCACAAAGAAGCTAAAAACTTTGAAAAAAGACTAATGGCTAACTAGAATAAACAGTGTAGAGAAGTCCTTAAATGACCTGATAGAGCTGAAAACCATGACATGAGAAGTACGTGACGCATGCACAAGCTTCAGTAGCTGATTTGATTAAGTGGAAGAAAGGGTATCAGTGATTGAAGATCAAATGAATGAAATGAAGCAACAAGAGAAGTTTAGAGAAAAAAAGAGTAAAAAGAAACGAACAAAGTCTCCAAGAAATATAGGACTATGTGAAAAGACCAAATTTACATCTGATTGGTGTACCTGAAAGTGACAGGGAGAACAGAACCAAGTTGGAAAACACTCTTCAGGATATTATCCAGGAGAACTTCCCCAACCTAGCGAGGCAGGCCAATATTCAAATTCAGGAAATACAGAGAACGTCACAAAGATACACCTTG